CAGCCGGGCCTCGGCGCGGGCCGCGGCCAGCCGGGCCTCGGCGCGGGCCGCGGCCAGCCGGGCCTCGGCGCGGGCCGCGGTCAGCCGCCTTGGATGGGCCGTGGCCGAGGACAGGGTGCGCGCGGAGAGGAAGGGGGACGGGGGCGCGGCAGTGGGGCTGTCAGAGGGCGCAGCGGCAGCAGCTTTGGGTTCAGCTACGACACAGCCGAAGAGCCGTCCTGCCGGACCGATCAGCTGACCAACTTGTCCGTGGTCCTCCAGGTCTGTCTGCATGTATCTGTACCATAGGACGCTATCGGTTTTGATTTCAACACCTGCTCGGTTCAGATGTTTTAATTGACTGACCCTAGCAAAGGGCCGATTACATAAATGAAATGTGAGAATGGCATTGCCTCTGTCACATCACATTATCATCATCTGTTGTGTCCGTGGAAACGGACACAACGGTTGTTGCATTAGCCGTCCATTAATACTGCGTGTGACAAGGCAGCAATAATCCCCCGGGTTCTTGTACACAGAACGGAGCAGAAGATGCCCCCAAACCGGACTACAGCTCCATGCCCCTGCTAGCCGCCCCTCCACAGGTGGGGCAGAAGATTGCCTTCAAGGTAAGTCTAGTCTTTATTCACCACAGTGTATCTGCTCTGTTATTGACGCTGCACGCGTACATGCTAGCCTGTTTTTAGCTTTAATTCATTTGCCAAAAAGAGACAAAATTTAGACCGATAGCATTGTTTGTTTCTCTCCAAATTTTCTTTTGTTAATGTAATGGGTTGCTTTATATATTTTGGAAAATCCAACAACCGCAGAGAAAAAATAGGACAGAGCTCTAAGAGGTGTTGTGACTGGCTAGCACCTAGCGTGTTCCCGGCTGGCTAGCGCATTAGCACAAAGCTCACGCAGCTAAAGCAGTTCACCAACTAATCCCAAAGCTTCTAGGATACAAATATTTTTGGAAGATATGCGCGCAGGAATTTTACATTTAGCCACTACTGCTCTTTGAACGGGAACTATTCTTTTCACATTAAATGTGATTACTGCCAGTAAGCAACCATATTTATGATCTGTCCTCCAATAAAGGAAAAGCAGTGGTTTGAAATCACTCGGTGCACGACCTTTAGTGAAAGTAAGACACTGAACTTTAAGACTATTTGTAAACTTAATTTCCTAATTCCTGTTTGTCTGTTTGTGTGCTCACAGTTACTGGAGCTAAGTGAGAACTATACACCAGAGGTATCCGAATATAAGGTGAGTGACATCATTCTTGACCTCCAGAGATAATGAGCTGTTCATTCATACTGGAGAGTCACCACACCACTGACGCTGTGCATTTTTTTAGGAGGGGAAGATCGTGAGCCTTGACCTCACCACCAAACAGATTGAGCTGGAACTACTGAACAGCTCTCCAGGTAGGGATCATTTCACCACTGACAGGTACAATATCAATGCTACTTCCAAAACTCTGTCGGAAAATGTATTTTGAGAGTCAGAAAGTTCAGCATATAGTGTTGGAGGGTGTTGTCACTGCTCTTTTAAAATGTGATGAACATAGCAGGAACAGAGCAGATGTTCCAACATGTGCCACGCGTTTGTGATCACTCGTAACCCGCCGCTTCTCCCACAGCTCCTGTAAAACCTGGCAAGTTCGACCTGGTCTATGAGAACCCGGATGGCTCGGTGAGAGTGGAGAGCGTGGATTACGCAATTTGCAGAGACTCTCGGGTAAGGTGAAACAAATTTAAAGGAACAGTGTGTGGGGGTTTAGGTGGATCTGTTGGCAGAAATGTAATATAATATTAAGTCTGTTTTCATTAGTGTACAATCACCTGAAAAAAATAATCGTCGTGTTTTCGGTAGCTTAGAATGAGCCGTTTGTATCTACGTACGGAGCGGGTCCTCTTTAAGAGTCCACCATGTTGCATCGCCATGTTTCTACAGTAGCCCAGAATGGACCAAAACCAAACACTGGCTCTAGATGGGGACTTTCGCTTTTTTCCGCTGCGGCCACCATCGTTTTCCTGCACGCTTGGCACATGGGAAAGGTTTCAGTTGGTTGCAGTCTGCAACTTCACCACTAGATGCCAGTAAATCCCAAACACTGGCCCTTTAAAGGAATAGTTGAACCTTTTGTGAAATGCGCTCAATTGGTTTGGATGTGAGAGAGTGTCCATGCTAGTCCAAGCTAATGAGAACTGAACTAATTTCTGTCACTAGAAGTCATCATGTATAGTACAGACAGAGTCAGGCCGATAACCCAGTCATTTGACTTTCAGTGTTTTTATTGATATGCTCATATTGTATACTTGTTTTATGAATTTAAAATGAATGATTTCAATCAAACTGTAATTTAAAAACAAAAATAGTTATTAGATGTTTTTGTTTTTTCAGTTGAAAAATCAAAAGTCAAAGTGAATTCCCTGGAGTTAAATCTTAAAAGTTAATTGAATAGATGATTTTATCCATTTTCATTAAAACAAACGCTCAAGCAAACTGGTCCCAGTCCACCAGCTTATACCCTCGAGTGCCTTATCAAATAACAGCGGGCCTACAAAGGTTGATCTGTGTGGTCCCTTACAGTGACACTGGCAGTCAGCAAGAGCAGTTAAAGCCAAAGCCTTTCTTTTGTCTCTGAGCCCAGGTTATAGTCAGTCGCTTGTAATAATATCCGTGCCGATCCTTTTGGAATCTTCGCGTAATCACTGTTAAAATAACTCATAATCTTCACTTCCTCCCACAGGTGACAGAACGGTGGGACTCCCTGCTGGAACCAAGGCTGATCGTTTAAATGGAGCCAAGCAGTGATTTTGTACATCCCCTAACCTTAAGTTAAACTAGGGAGTCACTTCTGTACATTACATATGACAGCAAAGGGATGTGATTATGGTTGTTTATGTCTCTCTTCTCTGTACTTCAAAATATATCATCACTTTACACAGAAGAGCTACTGCAGCTGAAAGTATTGACAAATGTAATAATTGTTGCATTTTAATATGAAATGCTGTATGCTCTTAAATATGTAGATTGAATGTGTGATCGCTTCCAGGACTGACGCATAATGGTTTTATGTTTTGTAAAGTGATGTGACTGTGATATCAGTCTTGTATAAACTTTTTTTTTTTTTTTTTTTTTTTTTTAAATAAAACACTTAAGGTGCATATCTACTGTATTTTTCCAATGTGGAAATGTTCCTTATATGGAGGGTCATTATGCGTGAAAATAAAAAGAATGGTAATTGCTCGAACTAGAAAATAGTGATAGGTAAACATGAGACAGATAAGCCAACACTATATTGAAATCAAACTTCATTATATTAAAGTCAATTGCTGTGTCCCAAATGTATACCTTGTTGGACATTACATCAAACTGCGACTTTAGAATAAGAGAATTCAACACAACAGAGAACTTTATTTATTTATTAAATGTATCTTTTTGGAGCTGTTTCACCACCATAGTGTTTATTTTTTGCAGCTGAAAGTACCACCTTGATCTCCATTTTGCTTTGCATTGCATTGTGGGAGAAACGTGTACAAGAACGTCACGCTCAAAAATCCTTATTTTAGTATGCATACTGACTGCTTCGAGTAAACCTTAATATTGTCACTTTTGTACTTTGACACGCCGCATACTCACACTTATTACGTAATATCTAATAATTTTGACTCAAAAGCAAAACATTGTAACTGCTGTTCAATGTCCCTTGTAGCGACACAAGTGACATTTACGGGATAATTTAAAGTTGTTCAACAGTAGTAGAGACGATTCTTTTACATGGTAAGTATTTTTCTATCGTCGTTCCTAGCATTTCATCAATTATTTATTCATCTATTTCAAGAAATGGACTCCCATACAGTTTAATACGTTGCTTTCATCGGTGTAGCTGTAGTGGAAAGTTATCTGTGACAAAAGGCATTGTAGGTGATGGAAGCAGTTGCTCAATGTTATTTCAGTGGTTGGTAACGCACCTGGAATCTGGATTATTAATCAGCAGCTGGTTTGTGACGAAACGCCTCGTGCCCTCGTCGTAAATCATCGTCCTTTTCCGTAACTTCTCGCGCATCTCCAATAAGCGGTGCTGTTTATGCCACAGCAGCAGCAGTCGAGGACGGCGAGAACGATGATGGCGACCGCCAAAGCGATTCTTTAACAGGAGAAAAAAAAACATCCGCCGACGAAGCCAAGCCCTACAATGGAAGGACATGCCGTTACCGACCAAGAGCAACTCCTGCAGTTTCTGAGGAGGCTCAAGGAGGTTTTCGACGTGTGCGACGAGGATGCTGACGGCTTCATCCGGGTGGAGCACTTGGTGGACCTCGGTCTTCAGTTCGGTCAAGGAGACGAGGTGAGAGAGGCTGAGAGGGGGTAACCACAGACAGGTAGCTCCGTATCACGCCTGTGGTCGCTCAACCGACATTTTGATAAGGTTAACTATTAACATGCGACGAATTATGGACCGTACGAGCTCCTGGCAACAACAGGCCACCTGCCTCTACGTTTTTAAATGTCACAGGTGTGTTAGAGGTGTTAGCTTTTAGTGGCTCATTAGCTAGACATTACCTAGCTATTAGCATATTACTGCTTAGGTGTGCTGCTATATCACAGATATAACGACCTGTCATGCTACCTCTTCATTCTGTCTGTCTCATGTGTCATACGCATATTTAAACGGTTCCAGATATTATTATTAATACTTAATACATATTAGTATATATAATATAAATATCATTAATAATAATAATTAACGGTTCCTGCTTATTAACACTAGAGAGGCAAGGTGAAAAAGCCTTACACAGAAGCCCACCAAGCCTACAACTAAACTCTTTTTTTCAGCAGAGGTATTCCTATTATAAACCTCTACCACACTGTTGTGTACATTGCAGTGTTACTTTTATGCTAACACACCAAATGCTTTTGGTCTTTTTCCAGCATGTTGGTGATGTAGACACCTCCATCCATCATTGGCCTAATGTATCTTGTGACATCAAACTGTGATCCAGCAAATCTACACTACACTGTGTACTACAGAAAACATCACAGTGACTAAAAGCATCAGCGATAAATAGATTTTTGGTGTCAGCTCTTGATAATCGTAAGATACTACCGTTTATGTGGTGCTATGTATCACTTTTATATCCTCGGCCATTGTGGGCAATTCTGCAAATCAATAAAAAAAAATGCTTCTTAATGATCATATTAGATTTTTTATATGATCTCTGTAATATTTGATTAATTCCCTCAATTAACTGGAAACAAACATTCCTGTCTGCTTATACCACCAATAAACAGTTTATTGATTGATTTTCCAGAAAATGTTCTCCATCATGATTAATATTGATGTTGAGATAAAGTAGCAGTGAGCTCCATAGACTGTATATATAGACTTTTTATATACAGGCTTTTTTACATATAGTTTGTGGTCAGCTTGATCCGGCCCGATTGAATGTCAACAACCTTTTGTTTTCTCGAGATAACAAGTTCAATATCTCATTTTCTCGAGATAACAAAATACTGGTGATCTCGGAAAAAAATAAATAATTCTAGCACAGTTCTCGTCTTCCATAATATTGGGCAGTACTTCCCAACATTATTCAGCTTGTGGCCGTTAATTCTGAAGCAATATCTCCCTGTGACCCGTTGTAGCAGGTTGCGTGTTCTATAAATTATGAACACTGGAGTTAAAGAGATTTTATTCCTCTTGGATTTATTATCTTGGATAATTTCAGAGGCCTGGAGAGGAAAAACTCACCGACTACTCAGTATTGCACCAAAGAACAAACAGCTTGTTGTGGGATTTAGCAGGATTTATTTTATTCCTTCGATCCCTGCCTGGGTCATCATCTTGTGATGCCCTTAGATTCATCTGGCAACCCTGCGTCGGGGCTTTCAGGCTTTCTGTAGTTATTGCAGTTCACATCAGCGCCGAACTACCTCGCTATGTTTCCATGTTGTTTTTCTCACCTTAGATTGAACATTGTAAAGGCTATGGTACTGAACCAAGCGGGCAATGTCACTTTAGATTCTGAATGTTAAACACGCAGTCGATAAAGTCCAATGGTTTATGTTGTGTGCAGTAAGGTTCAGGGGCGGAGCCAGAGAGTGTAAACATTCAGGGCTCAGCCCAAACCTAGGAACTATATATATATATATATATATATATATATATATATATATATATATATACTACTACAACCATATACTCTGTTCTTCAAGACATTTGATAATAAAATATCTAAAACTCTGTACATCATTTGGTAAAAACATGGAAACAAATCAAGTCAACATCCTGTTTTGTATTTAATTGTTCTCCAACTCTCTTCATCTTTCTGAAACACAACAAAGGATGAGGATGAATAATATCCACTACATATGTAGGGTAGGCTATTTTCCTTTACAAATCCCCCCCCAAAACCTGAAAAGATATTGAGGTTGCATATATCAGTGCCACAGTAACTCCAGATATCTAAATGCTGGATCTGATGTACCCTTTTGGGGCTGACAGTACTGGCGGGGGGTGCAGGATGCTGTGCCAGTCTGATAGGTTCAGTACCATGGAGAGCACACTGCCAGTCAGGGTAAACACCAAGCAGTAGTGCTAGGGCTCTCTCTGTGGTACTGAACCTGGGGCTAGCAGGGGTGCTAGTGGTCAACACTAACCCCCGAGTCATCATTTGATGGCTTATTCCATGATTCTACAGCTTGCTAATCTACCATTTTATCATATTTTAAGATTTGGAGCCAAATACTTTCTCTATTTTCTTTGGTTGAAATAAATGGCTAAAGATAGCCGCTTCCAGGTTTTCTGCTCCGTTTCTTCGTAAGTCCATGGATTGTTTATGGAGTGAAAGTACTTTTCTAATGGAATGGACAAAGGCTTAATAAATATATTTACCTATACCCTCACAAGCAGGCTTCAAGTTGATTTTCATGCCCTGCTGACAATAATCAAACCAGTGGCTGCATGTAAGACTTGGAAATGTGTTAGGCCTTAGGACATGCTGAACAATAATGTGAAGTATATGCTGGAGCACCACTTTCGTAGTTCATGGCAATTCGCTTCCAAGAAGACTAGCACCCAGTTGTCATACTTGTGTTGGAGTGTGTTTAGTCACACTCGGTTATTTAGATTGCTGTGCAAAACAGGAGCTTGGAAGAGAAAGAAATGAAACCCGGTGAAGAGATGGGACTCAGAGGGAGAGGAGGACGCACCGAGTACCACAGATAAACAATATCCAACAGTGAGAGTAGATTTTCCTTTAAGCTGTCATGGCGGCTGAGCTGAGCACCCCGAACACACTTCTACTAAAAATAACTCGGAGGTAGCTGCTGCTCCACGCCCCCCCCCCCCCCCCCCCCCCCCGCAGCTCCTCTCATCCCTGTGTTCTTTGTCGCCATGGCGATGAGAGCTTCTGGAGGAGACTTATGAGCGGATTGGTCGGTTAATAAGTAATGAAATGATCCGCCTGTGAGACGGCACTCACTGCACCAGTGCTGTATTTACATTTGTTTCTTTTGGAAAACAATGACACATCCAGAAGCATCCGTTTCCATGGCGATTTGTTGACCGCAGCGAGCGTACATTATGAAATACCATCTTTATTCCCCATGGTTACCTCACCACACTGCCCCATACTGCATGCATGCACACATTACAGTAGCCTACAAATGCAATAGTTGTCAAAGCACATATAAAGTATTTTATACAAATGTTTATTTCTGTTATTTATACTGACAAAACATCTTTTTTGTACGAACACATCATTCAGGTTTTGTTTTGCTAATTTTAGCCCTACAATTTGTGTTTTGTCATATCAAAAATGTACTCTTAAATATTATTATTTCACAACTTTTTTTAAACATATGCAACATTATTTTAGACTTTTAAACGTATTTCTCTGTTTTATGTAATTAGAAAACCGACTGATGGTCGTAGGACAGTTGACAGATATTTTTCACAGTTTTCTGACATAAGCTGACTCATTGAGAAAAATATTTGGCGGATTAATTGATAATGAAAAGGTGGATAATGCTAACAGAAGCATATTTTCAAGTGGACAGCGCCTCTGAAGCTCTGAGCTGAAAACTGTATTTGAACTTGTGTTTGTTTGATCGTTGCTGGAGGTGAAGAGATTCTGTCCTAATCCAGTCCAACCGTCCACTGACACTCCACACATGTACATATTTCATTATAAGACATTAGAGACATAACAAACTTATAGAGTTTCAGATGTATAATATTAAGGGGTTGGTTGAAACTGGCTTCTGCTTGCCTGACATGGAAGCCTCTGGAGGTGTTTGATGTAGCAGTGTTAAGCCCGTGTGATAATGTGACACTGAGCTGTGGGATGTGTGACTGTGTGTGTGTGTGTGGGAGAGAGATAACATGTAGATGCCTGTTTAGCACAGGTTGATCCACAGTATATAACTTTGATCTATTTATCCATACTCAGAAACCGTCTCCCACCAAATCCCGTGTCCGATGGTATTCCCTCCTCCTGCTCTGAGCACGGCTGTCAGAGTCGGAGCCGTAATCTTCTGCTACAGTCACTCTTTAGCGTTATTCCAACCAAAGGAGATGCCACATCGACTTGTGCAGAGCATTGATGAAGGGGCAGAGAGGAGCTTGAGGGGAGGCTGGATGGCGTTGTCAGCAGTGCTCAGTGCGCTAGGGGACATGTAGGCAAATGTGTCTTACTTTATGACACAACTAAAACAAAATAGCACCTGACAGTGCACGTACGCAGTGAGGTGAAGGTCGACTCCATGTGCCTTCTTTTCTGGGTTTCTCAAATGGGAACGCCCAATCAGCCGAATTGATAACCAAAGTAAGCTATTCAGTAAGGTGATCAATAATGTGAAAGCTAGGACTAGCTGAGGGAACTAATATTCTCACTTTATGTCAAGATCCTTAAGTCAAAACTATATGTAACAAAAGAATGCAATGTCAGTAAGCCTGCAGAAAAGTCAGGGTCACACAGAGGGGTGGGACACTCTGAATTGTTAAAAATGTTTTTTAACAATTTAACAGTAGACACTTAGACAGACTTCCCTGGACATATTCATAGTGTTGGCATTCTCTAAGTGAATACATGTGTAAGGGATGAAAGCGGGAGAGATTCAAACCAACCAAGCGACATTAACATCCATAGAGTCAGCAGGGCTAAAAATCACAACCCATTTTAGAGTGATTCAATGTAAGGAGAAGAGGGTGGGCTGAACTGATGCCTAATGCCCCTGTTGTTTTCTGTCCAGAGTCTAAGAATAGAGGGCGCAGCATCGTGTTGTAAAGATCTCTCTTGTCTCTTGCAGGTGAAGAAGTTAACCAGGTACCTGGATCCCAACGCTCATGGGAAGATCAACTTCAAAGACTTCTGCCACGGAGTGTTTGCCATTAAAGGTACATGTAACTGATGGACCAAAGAGGTTCAGCAGAGTGTTAGCGGCTTCCCTCTGTTTCCAGTCTTTATGCTAAGTTAAGCTAACTGCTGTTGCTTCATATATACATCACAGGCATTGAGGGTGGTGTCCATCTTCTCATCGAACTCTCAGCCAAAAAGTGAATGAGCCCCAAAATGTTGAACTGTTCCTTAAACTGTCGATAACCTTCCTGAGGTGTGGTGCAATGTATTTCAGTTTGTTTCTCCCCTTTCCTCTTCTTTGTTTCTTTCTTCTGTCTTTCCTGCCCTCCTCCTGCCAGGTTGTGAGGAGATCCTGAAGATGGCTGTGGGTCCGCGCGGCATTACCTCCAACCAGTCTGTGACTGACAATGGTTACATTTACCAGGTACAGGCTTATGCAGTTTAACGGTGAAAGCTTCGTGCCTCCTTCATACCTTGAAAACGGATATATACTCAAAAAGGGGGAAGGGGGGGTTAGAAGCTACTGATGCCTTTTGGTCATTGTGCACAAATTGATAGACCGGCCACATTAGAGAGTCAGATTCTCCACCGGTCCCCCTTCACTCCTCTGTCACAGCTGTTACCTCTAGTTTGTTTGTGTTTGTAGTGTTTGTGTTTACAGTTCATCAGCATTTCAAAGTTTGCCTCTCAGGACAGATGCAAATGTGATTCCCAGCTTAACTCCACCCAACATCTCATCTCATGTCTGGGTGTGCAGTAACCTCAAACCATTTTCTCACTCCAAACTCATTCACTACCGCCGCTTGGTCAGTGCCCCTCGGCGTCTGACACCGACGCCCCTCGGTGCCCTTTAGCGCCGGAACGCACCGGGCTTTCAACAACTAACTAACTTTGTAATTATTTGGGGCTTAGTTGTTTTTGCAGCAGGCAAAGTAAGGTAGCAGAGATTTCTCTTTATTTAGTTTTTTCATTATTTTGTAACATTCCTTAATCTATATATTCTTTTTCTGGGTAAAAGTGAGGATTATGAGATAGTAAGTTTAGTAATATTATAATAGTAAGCTTCCTATTTCAAAATGTTGCCATTCAGTATCACAATTGTTTTTCTTTACCTGGCAGAAATTGTCTTCCATAAAACTGAGATTTTGATTTATTCACTAACATGTTTGTCTTGAGCATTTACAGTACCATCATCGATTAAAATATCGATGAATGTGCAATATATCACAAGTTGCTGTGTGTAGTCCTCGCCACAAGAGATCAGCCCAACTGAACAGTTGCTAAGCAACGAGAGAGAGAGAGAGAGAGAGAGAGAGAGAGAGAGAGAGAGAGAGAGGTGTGGCTTTGTCCCTGCTGAAGCAGCGGTGTGTTTTCAAATGTGAATGGTGAGCTGCAGTGAAACGTGTGTGAGCCTTCCAGCTTCAGGAATACAGTGGATTTTGGTCCCACCTCCACGATGACAGATACCGTATGTTGTTTTGAATGCACACACACACACACACACACACACGTGTCTCAGGGAGAATATTGCTTCTTACTTAAATGAAAAGAGCATTCAGTACGTTTACACACAGAAACAGGATGATTTCTGTGTGTAATGATTTAAAGTGATGCTTAATGTCATTTGCTGCCGGTGTGTGTGGATCCACTTTGGATTAAATATGTTGAGCTAGTTTGATAGACTGCATGTGAAGGTGAGTGGTCTTCTTCACCACTGCTCTGTGTTTCGTAATGTTATAGTCCTGTAGGTCAAATGCCAGTGATTGCATTTATTTGAATAATCATACTACTTCTAAAGTTCCTGTCCGCTCTGTGTGCACACAGCTGTTTCCACTTGATTTGGCTGATTAGGTCTCTTCTCAGGTGTGTGCAGACTCTGCCTGATTGACATCTTCCTCACTCTGCTCTCGGTTCAGTTGCACCTGTTGGGGGCGGGGCATCTGCCACCTTGATGGTTATTATCGGTTATGGTGTTCGGATTCACACAGGAGCTCAGTTATTGATGACAGTGGAATTCAGATACAGCACCGAGGAAGTCGACACACACTCACCAGCACAACGTCTGCCTGTTTGTCTTATGCTGGCTCGATGGTGACTTTTCTATACTGTCTGTTGATTTGGTAAACACAAATGCAAGTCATTCCATTTAGTATGTCTTAGTGGGATTTTACTCTAAACTATTTCCACTTTATATTACATGTATAAATATGTTTCAGTGGAAGGTCAACATTACACTACACGTCCCTGGATTAACTTTTTAAATTCCTCATTTACTCTTTGTCAGGAATCCAAATCTCCACACACTTCTCTTCATCTCAGACAAAAACATGTGTATAATTGATGAATGAAAGCTACTTGGCGGCGGTGGTGCGTGCGTGTGTGTACGTGTGCATACAAATATAAAACGCAAACCACAATCTCGATGGAAAGCACCTACTTTGTAATTGCAGCTGGATCTGTTTGTGCATGTGCATTAGTGTGTGTGTGTGTGTGTGTGTGTGTGCACGCGCATTTGTGTGTGTGTGCGCGCATTTGTGTGCGTGTGACACAGAGTGTGCATCTGCCCTGGCACCTCCGTTGGGTGAAGCCAGACAGGCACTTGCATAATTGATGACACACAGATCCGAGGCACGCGACATCCCACTCTGTTTCTGATAAATCTCCAGGTCAAATGCTGGAGGTGTGCTGTAATATCCCACGGTGTCTTCTATTGCTCGACATATTTGATAATATGCGGTTTAAGCTGTCACTATATCTTATTGCTGCTCTAACAAGGTTTAAGGCCAGAGATTTTCGCTTCTTGACGTCCTATGATTCAATGTCAAAGGTGTCTCATCTGTCTCAGGGAGTGTTTAACTGAAGAGATGGGAAAAGAAATCTAAATGTAATGTAAGACTTTTAATATTTACACATTATTGATAATGCTGTAGATTGTTTTTGCAGGGGTAAGATGCTCTACAACAGGGGTCTTCAACTAAAATTCCAAAAGGTCCAGATTGAGAAAATCTCTTCGGGCAAAGGTCCGAAACATTACAACAATATCTAACTCGTGTTATTTAGTGCCATATATATCTATATATATCTATATATATCTATCTCTATCTATATATATATATATATTCAAGAAGTCTAGTAGTAGTAACGTCTCTGTGTAGTCAACAACTGTCAAATCAAATAAAGAAAGTACACATCAATTATATTTTAACAAATTATTATTCTCAGTTTTCAAATTTAACTGGATGGATTATAAATAATACATAGAAATAAATGTTCTTCTCATTTCAAGTACAATAAGGGCTGGATTAAAGAATAACTGACATGACAGAAAGCTTTTCAAAAATGTGCATCTTAAAATAAAGTAATTCATTTTAGAAACATTTATTTCACTGAATTGTGCTGCAGCTTTAAATTCAGTTCATTCAGGTGTGAAGTGATGTCAATAAAAAAGTCTCAATATTATATTTTTGTCATCTAAAAAGATATATCAGTGAGCATGGACTTTGTGTGGTTATTAAACCACTTGTTTCAGCTCTATTCTCTCTGTTAACATCATTGTTGAACAGTGAACTAATGTGTTAGGATTCTGATAATTTTGGGCTCTTAGGTTTATTTTCAGATGTGAGTGGATACGTTTGTTCAAAGGAGTTGTGCTCTGCCTCGTAGTGCGCTTCATTTCCCGCTTTTATCAATAGTTACGGTTTCTGAACATATGAGACATGCTGGTTTTAACTGCCTGTGGGAAGAATTAACATATACGTTTCTGTTCATTCTTTCTTATAAATTATATTCTCTCTGTACGCGTTTCTCTTTTTGGAGAACGTCATGTGAGATAACGTCTCTGTTTAGCGCAATATTCCTGCTCTTCTTTCTATTTCCTTGTCTCAGCCCTGTGTGTCATGGTGTGTGTAAATCTCACTAGAGTCAGGAAACTTGTCAGAATGCCCATATTTGATTGGCTGAGCTGCATCACATGATGTGATTTTACGCATTGGTCGGTGTGTTTCCTGCACCGCTGAACAAGTGCTGTAACTGCTGAATAAAATGCGCTGGTTAAAATATAAACTCGCTTTCAAGTATGTATATTTCCAAATTATCTATCGGTTAGAGATGCTGGGTCCGGATGCAACTGCGTCTGGGTCCGGATCTGGACCGCGGTCCACCAGTTGGGGACCCCTGGTGTAGTGTCTCTACTTGCCTCTTCAGTGCGCTGTGAATCCACGCTCTCTTCTCACAGAGGCGGCGTGTGTCCATTTGTTGACGTTGCTAATGTTTCATTTTTTTTGTTCGCTTGTTTGTGTAGAACGGTGAGGCCAAGCTGGGCCCTCCCATTATCATGTGCACGCGCTCCTACCCAGAATGCAGTGTGTACGGCGAGGGCTGTGGCCCCGACGGGGAGTGCGACATGGACAGCAGCGCCGAAAACGGCAACGGCTCCGACTCGTTGCATCCAACGAGGCGACACGGGTCAGTCCCAGCGATACGAGGGAGTGGGCCACAGACTGTATGCGTGGAACAGACCACCTGTCCATCCAGGAAGTGGGGACAGAAAAGTGAAGCCAAAATATTCCCCGATACACCCCCATTAGCCTCAAATAACTAGTTAAAACCAAACCTATCAGAGAAATGATCCCCTGCACGTATATCGGCGTGATAACTACCTAAAATGACAAATCGTCTCTTGCACTCAGTATTTCTAGTTGTGAATAAATGTTTTGCAGTTTGAATAATGAGAACTGCGGGCATTAGTAAGCTCTTAAAATACATTCTGTTAACAATTGCAAGTTGCAAATAATTGTCTTATGATTTTAGAGACCCCCTGAAATTTTCCCATTGAGGCTTTCAGGACGCCTGTAGGGTCAATCCGAGAACCCCCCCCTTTGTCGCACACTGGCTGCAGCCAACCACCAGGGGGCAATCAAGAAGTATTGGCGAGCTTTTGGGGAGCTTTTATGTCCATCGTTATAATCAGAATCCGCTTTACTGTATATTATATACATTTATGGAATTATTGGGGTCAATTAGTGTTTATAAGTGAATGTCAGGAGCTATATGATGAATCTGTATTACTACTTCTCTTCTTCAGAAGAGGGTCTTCTGCTAGTTGTTCTTATTTATTTATTTTTTATTTTTTAATAACCACCCTTCCTGTCCTTCCTGCCACGCAACCCTAGCCACCTGATTGGCTCAGCGTCTGCGTCCGTCATCTCCGGGGAGGAGCAGTTCGAGGACTACGGCGAGGGGGAGGACGTGGATTTTACTCCCAGCAGCCCTTGTCCTGAAGAGGACACCCGAACGAATGGCTTCTCAGACCTGGGATCCTCCCTTCCCTCCAGGTCGGTGGTTGAGTCAGAAGCACGCACCCTGAATCACATGACGTAACAGGAAGTGTCACTTTTTGGTTTCTTAGAATAACTATTTTTTTGTCAGATATGTTCCTTATCCTCTTTTCTGATTGAAGTTGGCTGATTCAGATTTTTGAAAAGTCTGACCTGTCTATTCCGATTTCCTGTGTAAGAACTTTAATTGACAGAAAGGCTCCAGATTAACTTTTTTTCACAACCGTTCCGGAAGCAAAACATAATTTCAAACTTTCCATCAAATCTTCTATTATCCCTTTACTTTGTCATCTATAGTAGTTATTTACAAAAAGACACAATTGAAGAGGAAATAAATGATTGTGTTTTTATTGACATTAGTAGTTTTAATAATGTATTATATGCTGCTTAGAGCTAGTGTTAGGAAGTTAAACAGGTCATAATTCCCTCTCAAATATCCATTTCATATTGTTGTGAGAATAAAGTTGAAATATCAAGAATGAAGTCAAAATTTCAGTATATGTGTTGACGCTAAATTTAGCTGTTTATTCTCGATATTTCGTTTATATTCTCAACATTTCAATTTAATTCTCAAAATGCAAAAAAGAAAAAGTCTTGCACTAATACTGACAGTTCAACCTTGATCCTGTAATGTTTGTTTTTATTCGTGACATCTTGACTTTATTCTCGAAATTCAAAACAATAAAGAAATCTCCTAATTTCGTCCCTAATATATGGACTGAGCGTCACAGCAATATCTTCCTCGATCGTTCTAGCCCCGGTCTCGCTGTGGTGACACATTTGTTGTTGCAGGGTTTGTTGTAGCTGTATTTGATATCCAATAGGTTTCCTATTACTAGCATAGCATTCCATCTATTGATGTATTCTTTGTGTTTGCAGTGCTGGCCAGACTCCTCAGAAGATGCGGCAGCTGTATAACAGTGATCTGCTGGACATCTACTGTTCTCAGTGCTGCAAGAAAGTGAATCTGCTCAACGACCTGGAGGCTCGACTTCGAAACCTCAAGGCCAACAGGTAAAACGCACAACACACACAAAGCAGCAAAGAACACCGTTTGGGGGAAAGAAGACACACGGCAGATAAGTTTTTTTCGCCAACTGTAATAGTGGTACAGCCACCTGAAGGCAGCGGGTATCTGTTCCATCTGCAGACTCTGAACTGGAGTGATGATGTCACTGTTCAGCCACAGTTACGCACAGCAGATCTGCCGGTTTTGTTTTGTCCAACCAGCATCAGAACAGAACCACACAAATCAACCACAGATGAATTATTCTACACTGTTTCTTCTGCACACAAACTGGCCGACACATTATGAATCCCTTAGAACTTCTCGCTCCGCTTATAACTCCCTAAGGAGCGTTTTTTTTCCCGGCCTGTGCGCCACAGGTGCCCCGAGGGAGCCTGGCTCACGAAATTGGCAAAAGTGTGCTTCATGAAAGTAGAGCCTGTGGTGTCCATCGACTGGTGGAGGGGAAGAGATAAAAAACAAACTCTCTGCGCAGAGAAAGTACTGCCCTCTGCTGATTCTGAATGGACACATGAAGCATCATTAAAAACATGTTGAATAAAACACCACACTAAGTGGTAAAAGAGAAGATATCTGTCTGTGTGTTTTGAGGTTTCTTTTATTTTTTGTTTTTCAGCAGCAGCTATAGACGAGCGTGTGAAGTCATGATAATTGTTGTAGCAGCAGGTAGTGTGTGACTCAGTCTCTCTCTCTTGTGTTTCAGCCCTAACCGAAAGATTACCAGCACAGCATTTGGTCGGTGAGTGACCCGACTTTCCTACCAATCACCTCTTTAACATGAAAATACTGCAGCGAATCCACATTTGCATAGAATCCAATGATGGGTTCAGTATTTAGCCGGTGATGTATGTGAGTATCACTGTGTAGAACGGGTAATAATGTCCTCTGTTGGTTTCTAATGCGTCCTCTCCTCCCTGCAGTCAGCTGTTCCAGGCCAACCACAGTGTGTTTGGGTCCAGCCAGGGCAGCAGCACAGAGGATCTGTTCACGGACAGCATCGACTCCTGCGACCTCGACATCACAGAGAAAGTAAAAGACACGAATGCTCAAAAATGCAAGCAGTTGTTGTGAATTTTGGGTGAACACCAGTTAAAAGGATAAGCAGCATCATTCGGGTCCGTTTGTTTTAGGTTCACACAAGTCGGAATAAATCCGACTTGTGTTTTTCAGTATTATTATTATTAGTAAATTAGGGGAATACATTTTATTCCTTTTAGCTTTTTCATACTAATAATATTAGCCTGATCTTTATCTGCAACTGTGTAGAAATACTGGCTGTAAACACAATGAATTAAAACAGCAGTGCAGCATATGTTGATTTAGAACATTATAAATGAAGATATTCGGTAAATACAGTCTTTGGGTGCAGCCCTAGTTCTAAGTGTGGTAGTCTTCCTCAGGTCAGTTTTCTGGAGAAGAAGGTGACTGAGCTGGAGAGCGACAGTCTGGCCAACGGTGACCTGAAGTCTAAACTCAAACAGGCGAACACACAGCTGGTACACAGGTAGGAAAACAGAATCACTGAGTAATTTATTTATTAAGAGCCAGTGTGTTGCCTGTTTTTGTTGCCTTATAATGAGCCATTTATATCCTCTATGTTAAACTGTACTGTTCTCTCTCACACTAATTGTGTATGCACCCCAGGGTGCATGAGCTGGAGGAGCAGGTGAAGGATGCAGAGGCGAGGGCAGATCAGAGTCTGGAGGAGGAGACCAAGAGGCACCGGGAGGCTTTCAGCAAGATGGACAGGGACAGAAACGTAGAGATAGACCTGCTCTGTAACAGGTAAAGTCCTCCACGGCGTGAAACTCACACATTAATCCAGACCCTAAGAGGTGCTGGTGCTGACCTTTTGGTTCTGACTCCTCATGTAAGTGATGCTATTCGAGGGGTAGTTGCTCTCAAAAGTGAAGCTTTTCCAAGCTGCACACTGCTGCCACAGAATGAAGTAACCAAACGATTTTCATCCCTCTGCACTTTTACTTTGAACGAGCCAAGCGGCAAATTCCGTTCCTTCCACCTTCCACCATTTTTTAAAATTTTTTTTATTTTTTTCAAACCTTAGAAATGCCAGCTAAATGGTTTTCGGTGTTGAAAAAAAGAATAGTTCCCCTGGTAAAGTTTCAACTATGTTAGGATGCTGTTACTGCATCTTGTTTCTGGTGTTTCTGGTATTTCGATGAGAGCATTAAGTCTGCAGCTCCATACAGATGCTGCTAAAGTAAACCCAAGCTTGAAGCAGCGTCCTAGGTTACAAACACTGATCCAGGACCTGCAGTAGTCTACGTTACATGGTATCACCACCGTGATAATTCACGGTAAACCTGAACTTGTTCAAAACGTAAAGTACTGTTGGTGTTCTGAACTGTGTGTGTGTGTGTGTCTGTGTGTGTGTCTGTGTGTGTGTGTGTGTTTTTTTCATACACAGGGTACAGCTGTTAGAAGAAGAGAATGGAGAGATGAAGTTAAACGTGTGCAGACTCAAGTCGCAGACTGAGAAACTGGACCAGGTGAGTGTGATCTACTAAAAGGAAGATTCACTTTATTACAACATGGGTCTTGTTTTTTTTGTTTGTTGTGGCCATCATTATGATTACGGCATTCAGTTGTAGTAACAAATTATAGAAAGCTGGGACATCTGGGAATGCTAAAACATTGCTAAAAACCAGAGCAGTTGGACAATCCGGAGGGTCTGAAACAAAACCTAGAGATTAGTCCACCTTGTTTTGAAGAGTCCACAGTTTACAGACGGACTTGTTGTAGCAATGTCGCTGTGTTCCCGGGGTCCCAGTTACTTTGATGAGTAGAGTGATATTAGAACTATTGGCCAAAGCTACAAAATGCGACTCAAATTGTAACACGGCATAATTATTCTTTGACCTTAAAAATAAACGACCTTAAAGGGGACATGTCGTACTCATTTTTAGGTTCATACTTGTATTTTGGGGTTTCTACAAGAACATGATTTAATGTTAAATAGACACATTATTCTTCTCCTACTGTCTGTCTGAATAGACCTGTAATCACCCTCCGTTTTAGCGCCTGCCTCTTTAAACACTCCCTCCTAAAAAAGCCCTGTCTGCTCTGATTGGCTTGCTAGAAAGATATTGCGCACCTTATTATTTATTATTTCTCAAGCTGTGAGCGGAGATACTCAGATGGAGGGGCGGTGTATTCTAATGAGCCTGCGTGTGACAGAGCCGAATCTGATTGGTTTGTTGAATCACATGTTTTCTGATCTAGACAGCCCAGAAAAAACTAACTAGTTTGTCTTATTTCACAGTGTGTGGGTTGGTCACCACTTAAGTGAGAGTAGAGGAAGTGGTTAATTTGCCTTCCATGTGTCAACAACGATTTCCCGCCCTCTTTCCTCCGCAGGAGAAGCAGAGGATGACGGACAAGCTGGAGGACACTGGTCTGAGGCTGAAGGATGAGATGGACCTCTACCGGAAGATAATGGACAAGCTCTGGCAAAACCGCCATGAGTTTCAGAAGGAAAAAGTGGCCATGCAGGAGGTGAGTCCCTCTAGATTACAGAGAGGTCACATGGGAAATGTTAAAGCTGGAGGGTGGGACTTCTACATATAAAGGAACGTCGGTTACATTCAATTTGTGGCGTTTCCGAGAACCAGAGTCCCTTTTAGAAAACCTCATTTTTCTGCAGCATGGTCAGGCAGGTCCTAGTTCTGGTTGTCCGCCATAGCTTCCTCCATACTCCTAGCTGCTGCTCTGTGACTTCGGTCTCTCCAATGTTGTTATTACTTAGTAGGGGGAGACTAAAGTTCCACACCGCAGGATTTAAGGAGTTCCTTTGAATTGGATCTTTTCTATGTAGTTGATCGATGATCTCCGCCGGGAGCTGGAGTATCTGCAGCTGTTTAAGCTGGAGATGGAGCATCCAGGACAGGGCAAGGGGCTCTCTGAGTTCAACGCCAGGACCAGAGAGATCGAAATGGAGCACGAAGTCAAGAGACTGAAACAGGTTTACACACTCGCACACACACACTCACTCTTGTTCTTCTGTCCTCATGGGACTTTCCACTCTCTATATTCATTCCCAAGTGGTTTAGGTTTTGACAACACAAACAGTGCACGGCAAACATGGAACACACAGACTTGAGATTGAACCTGTTCGAGCCTGAACAATATATTGGTCAGGATATTATTGATCAGTATGGGTGCATATATTGGCCACTAAATGACTTTCGGTACAGAAATACCAAAGATATGTTTTAAAAACCAGTGTTGCCATTATATAGAAGGACTGTTGCTCTGTCATTAGCTTAGATGTGGTTTAAGATTTAAAATGGGTGTAAACCTGTGTTGTCTGGGTCACATGTCCTCAACTCACCTGTGGTTTAATCTGAACCTGGATGCTGTATATGTCACTGTATCTGAGGTTTATCTTAAACAAAGGAGATATGACGTGTACCTTTTGGAGATAGCCAGGTTAACTGTTTCCAGTCTCTATGCTAAGCTAACCGGCTGCAGCTTCATATTTACTGTACAGACCCGAGAGTGGCATCAATCCTTTCATCTAACTCTCTGCATGAAAGTAAATAAGAGTATTTCCCAAAATGTCAAACAGTTCCTTTTTAAAGTATTCCTTGGAAGTAGAACAAAGTCGTCACACAGCACACTACGCACCGACAGAGAGAGAGAGACCCACTCAGTGAGGAAATCTCTTTTTACTTATAGTGCATTTGCATCATACATTTGGGTGTTCAATAATGCATCTCACCAAAACTTTATAGTGATTTGGGTCATTTGAGATGGGAGCATTATATATTACTGATTTTACTCCGTCTTAAAGAGACAGGCGCTTAAACACTGTTTAACACTGAGTGTGAATACAGGTAAATTCAGAGTTTGTTTGACCATTAAAGCATGTAAACATGTTCTACTAGAAACTCAAAAAGAATGAACCTGAAAATGAGCATGATACAACTCTTTTAATACCTTTTTGTTGCTGTACTGCACAGAGTCGAGGCTTTCGTCCACAATCCACCTCTGAAAGGAACCGCTCTCTTTTCGCTTCCTTTAGGACAACCACAAGCTGCGGGACCAGAACGACGACCTGAACGCTCAAATTCTCAGTCTGAGTTTGTACGAGGCCAAGAACCTGTTTGCCTGTCACACCAAGGCCCAGTGCCTGGCAGCTGAGATCGACAACGCATCCAGGGACGAGGTCGGCGTGCCACTGCTGGATGGGTGTCGTATAATGCAGATATCTGTTGCGACTGCTCTTCTAACGCGCGTCTCTCTCTCTCTCTCTATCTCTCTATCTCTCTATCTCTCTATCTATCTATCTATCTCTCTCTCTCAGCTGGTCGACGCTTTGAAGGAGCAGGAGGAGATCAACCTGCGTCTCAGGCAATACATGGACAAAATCATTCTGGCCATTCTCGACCACAACCCCTCCATCCTGGAGATCAAGAGTTAAACGCCATACACACACACACACGCTTGTGTTTCTGTAGTTGTGGGGACCGTTAACTGATATATTAGCTTGTACCTTTAAAGTTGTAATCCTTTTATGATTTTAGCTAAACAAACTCATGTTGATTCGATAAACAAGTCAGTCAATAATGGTAGCATGTGCAACTGCCATCCGAGTACATGCTGCATACTCCCATGTCTTGTTTTGTGGTCGCATAGTTGACGAATGATCGGATTTGAGACGACCTGCGCTTCCTGACTTCTTCACAGTAAAAGCGGTCCAGCGGCAGTGGGACATGTCGATTAGCATTAGCAGTGATGCCGGATTACATGCTGTGTATTTCCCTGTCAATCACTCGCTCGTGTGAAGGCAATTTGAATCCAGCGAGGGAATGGCGGACCCCACCACCAACAATAAAAACCGCGAGATAAATGCTGAATAGCTATTGCTGAAAAATGCTGACCATGAATAGTATTAAAAACAGGGTATGGTTTCATGGACGTCTAAGGGATTATAACTTTAAACTGAAGCCCAAATTCTGAATGTCCTAAATGTTGTTACGACTGACCACACACAAATATATATCTACACCACCACAGCAGGCGGTCTTCATATCCACTAGAACGGAACGCTTGTTTATGATGCAGTCTGTCAATCACTGTAGATCTGCTGTGCCATGTATAGTCTGTCCGCCAACGTTTTATAGTTATATATTTGAAACTACTGAAATACTGAAAAAGACTTTAAAATATTTGGTAATACACAAAAGCATATTTTGGTGTTCACTTTGTTTGTTGTAGAGACAGTACCATTAGTAACTGATCATAACTGGGCTGCCACCCACTGAAACCGATGCGAGATTTAAGGAGTGCAGGACATAAAACAATTAGCGATTTAAAGGGCCATACCAGTGTTTAGCATGTTAGCCAAAGCAGTCCGTGATATTTCAAATTTAGAAGGCGTTTTTTTACCGTCTTTGAACGTTCACTTCAGGCAGTATAAAAATCAACTGGCAGAGACTTGAAATTAGCTCATTATAAATGCAAGTTGACTTTCATGCTGTATGGGAACGAATAGAAAACTTGTTCAAAATGTGGGGGATTGGCGCTTATTTGCTTCCCAAGAGTGAGATGAGAAGATTGACACCAGTCTCATGTCCGTGTGTTCATTACAAAGCTGGAGTCAGGACTGGAGTTAGCTTAGCTTAGCATAAAGCCTGAAAGTTCAGAAATACACCCCTATGGATCACTAATTTACAGGATGTGTGTAGTTTGTTTAATCTGTACACAAACCGAAATGTAAAACGATAAGTTTTAGAGGGAGTTATGTTTTGTTTATGTTGAACTACTTCTTAAAAAAAAATAATAATAATAAAAGATGTGTAAAATGTTCAAAAATAATAAGTATTTGTGTATATGTAGTAAATGGCCACAACATGCATAAACACTGACATGCCCTTTTTAAGTGAAACAACTTCTAACCCTTTAAATTTCTCAGCACTAAATGTCCACATGATTCATATATGCTGTATTCTACATCAAATCCATTTTTAGCTGTCAGTAACTGTCATTGAGCCTTTTGAGGGACAATTCTGTGCTGTTTCTGAAGACCAATTATGATAACGGTATTTAAAGGTGCTCGGAGCCAACATTATGTGCCAAATCTTAACATTTCACTTAGTTTTCATGGTTGAAGAGCGTTGTGCAGAAAAAAAGATCTCGCATACAAATTGCAATTCCAAATCGGTATTAGAAATACTGTACTAATATTGTGTACTTTGCAGTGTTCTATAGAAGAAGAAAAAGCACTTACTATAAGCAACCTACTGATTTAAAACGGGAAATCTCTCTTGATTTCTGTGCTGCCTTCAGTGTCTTTGTGAATTAGGAAAACCACTTTATTCTACCTATGCTGTAAATTAGTCTCACTCTAAATAATGCCACCTAAATGTTGAACTTAAATATTCTTTCACACGTGCTTCTTACACCCACAGTGTGACCTGGATGAGCTAGCCGAAGCTGCTGTCCTGAGCACTGTATTTAGTTTTGCTCCATTGCACAAAATGTTTTACATACTTTATTTGCTTGTTCTTTCACGGGTTTTTGTGCGTTTGCATACGAGGTATGACAATTATTGAAGTGGTCCAGCTATGGTTCTTGTTCGTTGTTGCCATTGTGAGTGATTTTTCTTTTTTTTTATGTTGACATTTTTACTTTAAGACACAGTATTTGCGATTTCATACATTGTAAATGTTGTACAGAATCTAGTTACTATTTACGTGCAAGTCATTTTGCTTAAGAAGTCTCTTAGAGAGTTTTGACACAAAATAAGATAAAATGTGTTGTAGATTATAATATGAAGTCAGTAATATATAGCACACTTGAAAGTGTCACAGCCAAAGTATTTAACTGGAATAATATTGAACATGATGGAAAAAAAAATAGATCATAGTCGGTCACATCTCACATGTGTTGACTTTGACTTCTTTTACGTGTGTATTGCACATGGAATTATGGGTGACCATGTTGTAGAAACTAGATGTGTAAATAAAATCCATTGGCTTTGGCATGACGAAGTCGGCCCTGGTTGTTTGTTGCCTCGGAGCTCTGCTGTTCCTTTAACTGTAGAACACTGTCTTTTCCACTTTATTAGGTACACCTGTCTAGTTTTATTTACACATTATTAAAGATCACGTAGAGGAGAAGTGTATGGAGATAAAAATACATGTGCAGGTGAGGTAGAAAATCTATGCGCTTAAAAAACTCAGCTAAAAGAGAGAACATCTATAAATACAAATAACTATGCAAAATAAAGTATCAACATGTTACGTGCCCTATCACATCCTATTTTGACAAGTTAGGCTGCTATAGATAACGGTAAAGAAGGCTGAAGACCAAATCAAGATAATTCATTATAAAATCTTTTGATGTGAAAGCATTTCCATGATTTGTATATAGACAAAGACAGAATCAGTAAGTGCATGTTCATATCCATAGTTGGACTCCATGGTATTTTGATGAGTACTGTCCTCGAGATTTTCAGTACATTTGGGGGAGGGGGGGATGTGAAAACAAGCCAGGACATTACAAAGCCTTTCTAAGATTCAAAACTTATTCATAATGTTAACGGTCATAATGAATAAACCAACGTCTACCTCTTTGTCTTACAGTTAACCAGAATGACTTGGGTAGTATCATTAATATAACATGTGGACCACAGTAACGCTGCTGAGACACAATGAGTGAGAGTCCATGGTAGAAGAGAAAGACAAACGGAACAAACGAAAATCATTTGGTATTTAATAGAATGTATAAGATATTCATCGACATCTGAGAAATCAATGAAGAAATGAAATGATTTCACTGTCCATAGGTGAACAAAGCAATACACAGAAATAGACTTCTTCTGGAAGGAAAATTCAGAAATTACCTAAATTAGCCGAGCTACTCTCAACAGCTTTTTGGCCTTTTAGAAATAAATTACTCATGGATAAAAATAAATAAATCTAAATAAGTTTTTTAGTTTTTAGTTTAATTTTTACTAAATTTAACGAAAATATGAAGGGCACACTAATTGCTAAAACAAGTAAATATGATTTACTCAATGAAAAGATAAAAGAAAGTCTATGCTTGACCAAAATATCACACTAAAAATACTTCATTACAAGTAAAATTCTTGCAATGAAAATATAGTAAAAGGATGTACTTTATACATTAAAAACATGTCATATTTATGATGGGTGGTTTGAATGCATACTTTTTTATTAGCTCATCACACGTTTTGTATGTAAAATCTGGATTTCTAAAGTTATTAGTAGGATAATAGCTGTCAGATAAATGTGAAAGTGCGATATTTCTCTCTGAATTGAAGTAAGGTAGATGTATAAAGTAGCATAAAATGAAATAATATATCATCCATATTTCTAAAACACTTTCGGGGATAGCCTGTGCGTTCACTCCAGTCTGTGTTGTTACACTCCAGTCCAGTAGACGACAGTAATGCTCCGCGTGCTTCGATATGCCCGACGCCAAAACGCTCATTTCACAGAAGAAATATTTTTCTTTTCGGAAGAAGATCCCGACAAAGCGGCCCTATTTCTTTTCAGCCAGAAAAAGTCGAATAATCCAAAAACCGACGATGTACGCCAGGACTAATACCGGCAGCACACATGGAGACTTTCAGGACAGAAACGGAGTGAATTACGTGACATCGACAGAGTCTTTCGGCCACTGCTCTCAATTGTTCTGGAAAAAGGATCCCAACGACTCCGGAGTAAGAAAACCAGCTGCTACCACCGTTAGCTAGCGACCCCGGCCAGCAAATATCGTTATCAAACGGCTGATGGAGTAATATTTGACCAACGAAGCAGCATGCAGTGCCTCTTTTGCACACGGGGTTGTTTACCGAGCGTCTGGAATCCAGTTTAGCATCACTGAGTGATGTGAAGCTGCAAGCTGTGCTACAGAACCGCTTCGTTAGCTATCTGCTAACGCACCAATCGTCATGCTGAGTGGCTCACGGCCTAGTTTTGACTCCTGGCTGCCGAGCTAAGTTGCTAGTAATTATTAGCTCCTGCATACTGTATATTCCACACCTCCCATGAATGGTTTGGTGAAATTGGAAGTGTTTGCTCCGCACTGTGTCGCTGCTGTGTTGTAAAGAGACGCCGAAGGGTTAGAGAGGGGGAAAAGCATGTTATTGTAGCCGAGCATCACCGAGCTAATGCTAACATCAGACAACACTGACTGCCTGAGCCAAACACAGCGCGGCTAGCTAACACCGGAGCCCGTGCTGCAAAACAAAGCTATCTTTTTTTTTCGGTAGCACCTTGTATAGAAACTGCGCTCCGAAAAGGTCTGCTCCGACATTTGCGAACCGCAGAAGGGTTTATTTGAGCATCTGTGTCCGTGTGTGTGCATGAGGCCCCGCAATATTGTCAGCGAACAGCGCAAAGTAAACACGACCGGGCTGTCCCACAGGAAACGGGAGCGGAAGACGCCCCGCGGAGGACTTTGAAAGACCTCTTTGTGGTGCCAGACTGTGCGGTTCATTCATGGTAGCCCACAGCCGAAAGATTATCTGCACCGGCGTACACAGGCACCCACACATTCATTTATATGTTAAACATTTTCTGTTGAATGTCCCACTGCATAGTTTAGTCCCAGAGCTCTTGTTATCGTTCAGGGGAGCTGGCAGCACTTTCCAGGTGTCACTCACCTTATATTCCTCTTGTCGCTCTCAAACTACGTGTATTCAAACGCAGCATCGTCAAAATGATGATTTAACACACAGTCATTGTGTGTGTGTGTGGTTCTATAGGACGCACACACTATCTCTCGGTTAACGGTTGTTTGCACAGTCTCTCCCATCTCAGCCATTAAACTGTGAACTCTCTGTGGCCAAGAGATCTCATCGCATTGTGTTTTTCTTGTGTTTCAGTATTTGTGGTGTTTCTACATGCCGTGTGCACTCAGTGGCCACTTTATTAGCTGCACTTGTAAAAGCTTACTCAATTTAATCCAACAGCCCTGCCACATATTCTACCTTAAACATAATGTCCAGTTTTGATTGATGCTGTTCAAGAGGTGTTAATTCAACTACATGTTTGATATTGAGGTTGTAGTCTGCTGTGGTGTTGAACTGGATGCATCACATTGAGAGGCGTTTCTAATGGAGTGTAGGCATAGAGTGATGCAGGGACGGTGTATTTAGTCTGCCGACCCCGGAGATGACTTCCCCACGTCAACAAGCCAATGGGATTTCTCTGTTTTGGATTATTATTATTATTATTATTATTATTATTATTATTATTATTATTATTATTGTTGGATTATACTCTGTTTTGTTCGGCAAGATAATCTTCTCAAAGGAGCACCGCTTTAGTGATTTTTAAAGTGCGAGAGGTCATCGGCAGAAGTCAAATTTGTGGCTGTAAAGGAACTGCGCCACGGTCACATGACTTCACGTCAACGCAGCTAAACTAAAGGACTAGTTTTTCTCGCTATAATCTCTCAAACCTATAACTGCGGACCTTATTTCATGCACCTAAACCAAAATCTATTGACAAAAACCCCCAAATACCAGTTTTTTTTGGGACTCATCCCTCCCGCGCTCGAATGGAAGACAATTAGAAACGCATGTACACATAATGCAGTATGCCGGTACTACACCCGTCACTCGCATACAGTTTGATTAACATATCTCTGAAAGTTTGGACAAAACCTGGCTGCTACAATAGACTTTGCTGTGACAGAGCTGCTGTGTTGGATCGCATTAGATTGTCTGTGCAGGTGCACCCTAATGATAAAGTCAGCTGGTGTTCCGTTTTAGGCCCATGCAGATCTCTAACATGGGCAGAGTTGCTGTCCGTGGTGCTGACCTGCCTCTCTTCAGAGCTTCACACTTTTCCTGACATGCATCCTGTGGCTGGCATATTTTATGTTGTAGTTGAAATTTGAAGTCGACTGCCCTTATGCTGTAAATTTTTTCAAATGTTTCTTTGCATTCCTACAAAATATCACAGTGAAATGATTGGCCATTAAAGGTTTGAATGCGTTCCTCTCTCTGCGACAGCCAAGTTCGACCATCAGCTGGTGTGACCAGCTCCCCACGTCTGCGGCGGCCCTCTCCAGCTCCAGTCTCTCCTCAGCGTCCCTCTCCAGCTCCAGCCTCTCCTTGGAGTCCCGAGCGCCGCCACCACCGCCGGCGGCCGCGACTACACCGGTTGACATGGACTCGGACGAGAGGCCGTACATCTGCGACCTGTGCACCTGCGCCTACAAGCACGCCAGCTCCCTGCTCAACCACAAGCTCACCCACAAGATCGGAGACTTCAGGTAGGGACCCCAGACTCCTTCACGGTTTCACTGCATCCCAGGCAATCAAGATGCTCAAATGTTGTCGAGTAAGAGCTCCTAACCGTCTCGTCTCTAACCATTTTGTCTCCAAAAAAACAAACGCGTAGGTGCGACTTTTGCAGCAAGCCCTACACCAACTACATGTCCCTGCGCAACCACATGCGAATCCACGGGCAGAAGCGTTACATGTGCGACCTGTGCGGGAAGGCCTTCCGCCTGGCCCGGTACCTCCGCAACCACCAGAGGATCCACGACGACGGGCCCAACCGCTTCGACTGTCCCTCATGCTGCAAGAGCTACAGGACCATGCTGGAGCTGGCCCAGCACCGCTGCACAGCTGCCTCGACCAACCAGGTGGGTTCACCGTGAGGTGGTGGTGGTGGTGATTATGATGGTGATGATGATGCCTGGGCTGCTGTGTGTTGGGTCGCATTGGTATTGTTGGTATAACAATTCTGTGAGAGCTTTTATGTTTTATACTTGCATGACATTGCAAGTATAAAACATACACATAAATTCAGGATGTTTTGCTACATAAACGATTATGTTTATGAATCACAGTTCCTCGCTGAGCAAAATCTTTGCTCATATCAGTACCTGTTGTTTTCCTTTGCTTTTATTTAAAAGCAGCTCAATCTCAACAAATTTAGGAAATGATTAATTTAATATGAAAATACATGAACCAGATAAGTTTAACGATTCTTAAGTTCTTTTCACATTTAATTTGCACATCTATATGTTTTTTGTCACAAGTACGTGAATATTAGGTGGCAGAAATCCCATTTTTTTCCCCGCAACAAGGTAGACTTGTCTGAGCTTACGCAATGCGGATAAAGGTGTCGCCCAATCGCGTTAAATCGCGGAAAGGACATATTCAAAATATGCCCTGTAGTGTAGCCGAGGATTATAGAGCAACAATGCAGGGGCTCCTCAGTTCAAACCGTGACGGCAAACTTTATTACTCCTTTTTAACCTCGACAAAGGCAGCGCAGACCAGCCGCTCGTACCTTTCACAATAATAGCCGTAGACGTGACACTGCGTAACTGTTAACCGGAGGGAACTCGGATTCACTCAGAGCATTTTGTTGAAAGTAAATAAAATAGCTTCCAGTAGTTTAGTCTATTCGGCAGTTTACTTCAGACAGATGCTGCTCTGGGTCAATAGGTCAATAAGTTGAAATTATTGATCTGATGTGAATGAAAGTTTAACTGGAGAATAATACTCCTGAACTTCCCGTGATGAGATCCGCTAAAGAGAAGACGTGTCACTCCGCTGGAGGAGTTGGAACTGCAGATTCACTCCTGATTGAGTAGTGGTGTTACAGAGTGATGCTTCTTCCCTCAAAATGATTAGTAACTGATTTGAAATCAAAAAATCGACCATCAGATGTCATGGGGGTGCTGCAGTCTCCTTCTCAGGAAGCAGAGCGCTACAGCGGCAGCATTTCAAACTTTAAAGGGGACCTATCTTAAAGAGACAGGCGCTAAAACTGAGGGGTTTCAGACAGAGGGTGAGTACAGACACAGGATGGCCTTAAAAACATGCTCAGATAATCACAGTGACCGGCTCGTCGCTGCCAACAAACAGTCCTGCTTATAACGGAGCTAACTGCTAATGTAACGGAGGTTGCATTGGCTTGGCATTATGATCAAATTATATTATATATATATTTTTTTTTTTGTGTAATATATATATTGTTTAGAAGGAGAACACTAACGCTGATATTTAGTTAAAAATACAATAATTTATTTCCTAATCATTAAAATTGTGGGGGTTTTTGCCACGAGATGTTAAAGTAATAAAATACAATTTTTATTTTTAATGTTTTTTACTTGTCCCAATCCCTGATTTTCTGTTATTTTATCCCTTTATTTTTAATAGGTCTACATTTTAACTTTCGGACGAGTGAGTTTGGCTTAAAAAAAGCTCAATGTCAATCCCAAGGCGACCTCAACGATTGTCCCTTTTTCCAGACTCTGTACATGTATCCTACGTGTTAAAAAACATGTATTTCATCAAAGGATAATAAAACTCGACTCCTCAGTGGGGGGGACAACCAAACTGAAACGTAACGTTGTTCAACTGTGACGCAGCACTGTTTGTCCACCTTTACCACTCGATTCAACATTTCACATTATTAATGATTCTGTGGCTGGCGCGGTTAAACTGGTGGTGCTCCACAGATGGTCCAATGTAGGAGAAAGTGTGTGTGTGTGTGTGTGTGTGTGTGTGTGTGTGTGTGTGTGT